GACGGCTCGGTGGTCAGCCTCGATGGTTTGCCCACCTTCGACGCGGGCGACGCCAACTTCGGCGACACCCCCGACATCCGCACGATCGGTTACACCAACAGCGTCGCCGGGGCGCCCAGCACGACGCTCTACGATTTGGATGTTGTCAACGACATCCTGGCGACCCAAACCCCCGCCAACATGGGCAATCTCCAGACCGTGGGGCCGCTTGGCGTCAACCTCGCCAGTGGGTTCCTCGGTAGTGGGTTTGCCGGATTCGACATCAGCGGGGCGACCGGAACCGCCTACCTGACGAGCGCCAACCCGAACCAGGCGACGAGTCTGTACATGGTTGACTTGGGAACGGGCGCTGCATCGCTGCAGGGAACGGTCTCGGGGCTCATCGGCCAAGGCGTGATTGCCGATATCGCGGTCGCAGCGGTCCCGGAGCCGACCTCGGCGTTGCTCGCCGCAGGCGGTCTGGCCCTGCTTGGAGTCCGCAATCGCCGCTGAACTACCGCTTGGGTGTGACAGCTCTCCGGAGTCCGCAGCCCCCGCCGTGCCCTGCACGGCGGGGCTTTTTCGTGCGGGACTATTGGCGACCCCGTAGGCCGATTCCAGCCGCCGTGTTAAACTGCTCGGCTTCGCGCAGGTGGCTCGTCGTCGTGCGCAGCAACGCTCCCGCTCCCCCGCTTCCCGCCATGATCACGCCCGACCAGCTCCGCGGCGCCCACGTCGCCCTCCTAACCCCCATGAAACCGGTCGGCTCGCTGATGGGGATCGACTTCCACCGCGTCTACAAGCTGATCGACACGGTCCTCGAAGCGGGCGTTAGCGGCGTCCTCTTCGCCGGCACCACGGGGCAGTCCGCCATGCTCAGCCACGACGAGCAGGTCGACCTCTGCACCCGCGGCATCGAGTACGCCCGCGCGAAGGCGGCCCAGCAGGGACGCAGCGTCACGTGCCTCGCCAGCGCGGGCTCGAACTCGACCGACGAGGCCCTGCACCTCAGCGAGCGGATCACCAAGGCGATCCACCCCGACGCGCTGCTGCACGTCACGGGCTATTACAACAACCCGCCGCAAGAAGGCCTGTGGGCGCACTTCGAGGC